CCGTCGTGTCGTGGACATGCTTGCACTGGGACTGGCATGTTTCCACAAGGGACCGAGTGTCCACGCGCTGGTGACGTTGGAAGCGCCAACTGCACGGGGCGGTTCTGTTCCGCTCTAGAAGACGGTCGGTGCCAAATGATTGCGGCCAACACGTGGGGCTGTGTCTTTCCTTCGTTGGGTTGTCCAGGTCCTCGGTCGAGCTTGACAGTGGTTGGGGCCATGCCTACCTCCTCTTGATAGTCCCCGACGCATCCTCAACGATGGCGCTCAAGTCGGTCACCACCACACTGTGTCCTCTTGTTTCCACAAAGTAATATAGTCTTGGTCACGGCTTTATCCATGAGCGATTTCCTTCGTTGCACGCGGATCGGGCTTGATTCCTGTTGCCGCCGCCGCTGCCGGTGTCTCGGCCGACCTCCCTTGCACCTCGCCGTGGGCAAACTGCCGTTTCCTGTTGCATTTTGGTGAGATATTTGGAATCGTTTTGACCAATGGAACGATTCCAACAGTTTGCGCCAACCAAGTTTGGTGCTGAAGCACACGATGGACGCGTTCCGGAGCTTGCAAGTCGGCGCGTCGTTCAACACAAAGCGCTTCGAGAAGGACATCAGCCTGTTCAAGGGTGCGTGTGGCGTGAGATCGTCCTCGTTTGTGGCTCACGGCGTGCTCTTGTAGGCAAGAATGGTCCCACACGCAAGGGTGCCGTGAATGCAAACGTAGGCGCGATCGACTTTTTTGGATTTGACAAGTACGTTCGACGGCATTGCCATCGCGCGAGGGTGTAACGCGTCGGAGCACATGTAGGAAAGCCTCAAGCGTGGCCAAGAAGATTTTGCCGTCGTCGTCGCCTCGAAAGGACAACATCGACGTTCCGTTGTGGGCAGGCGCCGGCGAAGTCGTGCCCTCGCAAAAGGAGGGCAGCAAGCAACGCCGAAAGCGCAAACTCACCGAAGATGCGCTGGCAGAAGCTGCCGTGTCCGAAGAAGACCGCAAAGCAGTGTCCCAGCTGCTCGCGCCAAAGGCAACTAGCAGTCCCAAGGCGAAGACGACCAGAAAGAAAAACAAACGTGATCGTACCGCGTCCATGGGTATGTGAGCATGTCGAGAGAACGGTATTCATCGAGCAATTGGCATTCCAGACTCGAGCGGAACCAGCGTGGGCGATGCTCAAGCCATCGACGAGGACGACGAAGAAGTCGATGGCATGACTGTCTTTGGCAAGGCGAATACGGCTGCAACAACGACATCCGACGTCCAGAACTCCAAGTCCTCCCATTCGTATGTGTGGATGGATTTTCTGTGCTGATGCATGCCACTCACAGAAGCTGACGTCCTCAGGGACGACATCAAAGCGCTGCGACGCCGACTCAACATATATGTGGAAGGCACGGTAGTGCCAGACCCGATCTTGGAATTTGCGCAGATGAAGACGAACGCAACAGCGCTTAAGGCTGTGGTGCTGCGAAACATTGAAGAGTCGCAGTACAAGAACCCGACCCCGATTCAAATGCAGTCGATTCCAGCCATCCTGAAGCAGCGCGACGTGCTTGGGATTGCCCCAACCGGGTCCGGGAAGACGGCGGCGTTTGCGATTCCCATGCTACTCAACCTTGGCGCTCCTGACGTCCGCGTACGTTCGTCTGCATGTCGGCTCGGTGTTGATTCGTTTGTCCACAGGGCATTCGATCCGTCGTGCTCGTGCCGACGCGTGAGCTGGCGGTTCAAATACACGCCGAGTTTCAACGCCTGTCCGTGGGTCGCAAATTTCACATCGTGTTGCTGTCGAAAGCAAGTGCGGCCACAATCTCGTCCCATTCCAAGTACTACATGACTCGTGATGCCTTGGCATCACCTCATGGCTGGTCGTTGGCTTGAATAGGACCTGCACGGTCAATTACGACATTGTAATTGCCACGCCGCTTCGGTTGGTTCACCTCATCCACAAGGAAAACGTCACGTTGGACACGTACGATGACCGCTCGGACGTCGTTGGGCTGACGCATGGGACCAGGGTCGACATGATATGTCTGGACGAAGCCGATCGGTTGTTCGAGATGGGGTTTGTCGAGCAAATCGACGACATTTTTGCCGCGTGTACGAACCCCAAGATGCAGCGCATGATGTTCAGCGCCACCATGCTGCAGGTGCGTTGGGTTGGAACAGTCGAGCTCGGTCGTGACTCGCCCAATATGACGCGGACGACAGGGCGTGGAGGAGATGGCGCAGTCGGTGCTCAAGGACCCCATCAAGATTTCGATCGGGACCAAGAACGCAGGTCGTCCGTGTCTAACAAACTGGTTTCCTCACGTGCGGATGCACGACGATTGGAACAGGCGCCTCGACGATCACCCAAAAACTCATGTTTGTCGGAAAAGAAGAGGGCAAGCTTGTAGCGATGAAGCAGCTCATTCAAGAGGTCATCCTCGTGTTCCGCATGTCGATCGTTGCCTTGGTTGTCACACACATACCACAGGGATTGAAGCTGCCTGTGCTGCTCTTTGTCCAAAACAAGGATCGAGCCAAGGAACTGTACCAAGAACTCGTGTACGACGGCATCAACGTCGGCGCCATCCATGCCGACCGCACAAAGGAACAGGTACGTTGAGTCCCGTGGAGTGTATCGGTTGACGCGTGGCATCTCTAGCGCGACAAAGTGATCAAGGATTTCCGCACGGGAGTCGTCTGGGTGCTCATTTGCACGGACTTGATGAGTCGCGGAATTGACTTCAAGGGGGTCAACATGGTCATCAACTTTGATTTTCCCCAGGTACGACAAAAGACAAAACATGTCGTCGACGCCCACGACGCGTTGTAGAGTGCTGTGAGCTACATCCATCGCATCGGGCGCACGGGGCGCAATGGCCGGCCCGGGGAGGCGGTCACCTTTTTCACCGAAAACGACATGGTCGTGCTGTTTTTGTTTTTTCACTCGCTGGCGTGACCTGACTGAAATCGCCATCAGGTGTACTTGCGTACGATTGCAAACGTGATGAAGTTGTCGGGATGCGACGTACCACCTTGGATGCTCAACCTCAAGAAAGCGAGGTACGTGTTTCGTCGTCCGATAAAAGGGGGCTCATTGGGATTGCAGCATGCGCAAACGGAAGCAGCTTCTCAAGGCACCGCCCGAGCGCCACCGCATTGAAACAGTCTCTGGATACGATTTGCAGAAAGCCAACAAGCGAAGGTGAGATCAATCGGACAAGACGGATGGAAACGTGCCACAATCTGATGGCCGTCTGTCGTGGCCAGGCTCATGAGAGCAAAGAAACACGACTCTACAAGCAACGACGATGCCGCGTAAGCGCCGCTCCCGCACGAACGAAACACCCCAGCGAACGCGCGCGCCTATCCACGAAACCTGACGGATGCACCAGCGAGAGCGTCGGCGACGGTGATGTGCGTCTTGGCAGAGTGTCCAAGTAAACTACTACATACATGCACCGTCATGGTCGAAGGACTTTAGCGATGTCTCGACTCGGTTGATGTTTCGCAGCTTGGGCTTGCTTGGTGGCAATAATGCAAGCAGCACGTCGGCTACACAAGTCGCCATAGGTATGCGCGCGCCACGCAAGCCAAGCTGACGATGTAGTCGAGCGCAACTCGGTGGATGATTCCTTGTGTGCGCTATGCGTATGGTGCGAGAGCTGTTTTGAATTTTGACGAGCACAACATTACGTGGACCGCGAGCGTGTCCTCCTTTGGCATATTCTCCCTCCTCTTGTCCTACAACCAACTGGTGAGCCCGTCTGTCCCCCGTACGATGTTCCAGATTCCACTTCACACGACCGAGGGCTCGCTCCTCCATGCCCGCGACCGTGTTCGGGCTGTCAGGCGCCGCCGCCAAAACCCTAGATGATCGGATGCAGTGGTCGATGGCGTGCAAAGTCCGATTGCTCCAGCTCGTTCAGGTCCATTCAAAGCGACCGTTGCTAGCAAAGACCATCGAGGTCGCGGTGAGTCCGACAATGTCGTAGATAAAGTGCAGACTTTGACGCAACCTACGGGCCATGCTCTCCTTGTCAGGTTGTCGGCAGTGGCGTCGTTTTCCTCGAACTGGAAGACACATCGTGTGGCAAGCGTCTCACTTGAAGCCAGGCAGGTTGTGCGCTGTTGCTACAATCTTTCGTGCACGCCGGTACAATCCTGACGGCGTCGAGCGCGGCAAAAGCATTCGCGAGTCCCTTTCGACCCCCTGTGTGCCGTTTCCACGATCGGGCGCCCAACAACGTCGCGGACAACCTCGACCTGCTCCATGTATCCAAACATGCAAAAGTTTCGTCCACGCGCTTCGGTGTCTCCATGATCCAGTCGGCGTCCGGAGTTCAACACCCTGTCACGAGTGCGTGGCGTGAGCAGTTCCTCCCAGACGTGCAGCGCCGCGACAGTGTTGTTGGTTCGACGTGCGAAGCGCGTCATGCGTCCAACTCGACCTTGTCGACGTCTCGATGTTGAGTCGTTGGGGAATCATGCAGACGCTAATCGTATTCGAGTATATTAAGTCTTGGCCAGCATGAGACTGCCCTTCCCGCTGTTGCGGCGCTCGAGTCGCGATGCGCCGCTACGTTCCGAGTACAACGACCGTGCGCTCGAGCTCGGTGCCATGTTTTGCGCCGATGCGGCCTGGGCCGAGCTTTCTTGGATCTCGCGGACGGCGGCGATCGTTGTGTTTTGGTACAGTTCGTACGGATCGGTGCGGCAGTAGAGATAGGGCTCCAGCAAGTACCTGCATCCATCGCGACGTCCGTCAGACCAAGTAGCAAGCACAATGCTCTTGTCGCAGTAGTACCTCAGCACAAACCCCACAACGTTGCTCCACGCTTCGCCGACTTGGGGGGACGCGTCGTCGCCGAGCCAGTACATGATGACTTCAATGCATGTCATCGTGTACGCGGCAAAGTGATGCGGACGCACTTTCGAGTACGTCCGATGTTTATGGCCGAGGAACCGACATCGATTCTGCATGTTGGCGACGTCGGACGGGTCATCCGCGCGCATACTGAGCATAAACGTGAGCGCTTTGATCAGGACTTCGCCCCGCTGCTTGACGTTGACAAAGACGAGGCCAAACGTCGCGTCGCGCTCAAGGAGACGGTAAAAGAACTCGTCGTAGAACAAAACAATACCAGGCTTCCCGTACTGCTTCATCTTGTCCGTGGCCGCCGACTGCACCATTTCCCACGTCCGCAAGCACAATTGCAGCCGAACTTTGGTGATGACGGGGAGGAGCGGAAACTGTGGTGGCATGTAGTGCTGGACCTCGAATCCGTCGGCAATCCCAAACGAAAAGTCGGCCAGGTGGTCCAAGTGCAGCTCCGCTTCGTCGCTCGCGACGAGCCGGATCAGTTCCTTCCGTCGGCCCTGCGCGTTCCCCATGCCGCTATCAGGTCTCCGTAAGCCTTCGTCCACCGACTTGCGGGAACGAGTGGCGTTTTCGTTGAAACGTCACTTCATAACGTTCCACCCTTTCAAACCAATCGAATGCCTCACACGCGAGTGCCTTTTCGCGTGAACCGCAACGCCGCGCGGTGGCCAAGCGATGACAGGCCGTGTCCATGCGGAGCGAGTTGGGAGGGTCGCTATGCCCAAACAGCCCGAATATGTAGAGATGCGCCTCCCCTCCATCGGTGGAGACTACCCTACCAACACGTCCATGGAGCGAGTGGCGTCACGCCAAGCATGCATCCGTGCCTGGTCATGAAGTGGCTCGAGAGCATCGACGGGAGAGAAATTTCCCAGCTCGCAATCGTCTCGCCATGGGCGGCGCCATCACTCGTTATCGAAGCAGGCCTAGGTCCGACCGACTCGGCTTGGCACCTCCGCTGGCCATGTCGCATGGACGGTAGGGAGAATAGACCTGATGCGTCGAGTCAGCATGCAACAGAGCGAGTTCTACCGTGAACGTCACCATCGAGACTACAAGTGCTCCAAACAATGGGAGGCATGGAGTGGTGTGACGTCGCCGTGGAGTATTTGTGTGCCATCACTAGAAAAGAACTGGAATTGCGCGGGTTGACGCTCAGGAACAGCTCGTGCGACGCGATGCTGTGAGGACGCGACTCGTTTGGTGCTGTCGTGTGCACCTGTCGCGTCGGTCGCGTTGGAGCAGTGCAATCAATATCCATCGTGTCGGTCAATCCCCCGATCGTCGAAGCTGCGGTCGGAAAGCAGGCATGTCCATTCGTTTCGTGCCGGCGAGCAAACGTCTGGTCAGTTCACATGCACCCACCCGAGGTACAGCGAGCCGCTGGCCGTCCATAAAGTTCAACCTGGTCTAGTGGACTCTAGCATCTACTCACGCCGAAGCGAAGGGATCGCGGCGGGCACTGTGGACGCAGTGAGTAGCCCTGGCGCTTGGTGTGCAGGTAATGCGATCGGGTCGTTGGCGACACCTCCCTTGCATGTGGTCGTCGTGGCTTCTCGGTCCATGAGGGTTTTCCGTTTGATTTTGAACAGAATAAAAATATCCTCCACAATATATGACAATATAAAACAAAACGGTTTGCTTGCCTTGAACATGACATTTCAGTTTGGGACATGGCCGAGAAGGCCGCCAAGCAAGTCATCTCGGGATGGCTTCTGCGGCGGTCTACGACCGGGTTCTTCCAAGTCAAGGGCACAGGGGACTGGAGCCGTGTGTGGTGCGAGTTTGACGTCCTTGCTGGTCTCTTTGCAGTGTACTTGGATGGTGAGAAGCACCGTCGCCTGCTCAATTGGAAAGTCCAGGTGTGCACGATCAACCACGTCCGCAACGACGGTCGGTTCTGCATTGAGATAGAGTACAGCACCCAAAGGAAGAAGGAAACGTTTGCGTCTACGTCCAAGAGCTACGACATCGAGTGGTGGTTTGACGTACTGGCAACGTCAAAGGCCGCCCTTGCTGAAGGTCGCGTGCCGAATCCGCCGTTGTTGGTCCGCACCCCCGGCATCCCCGCGGTCGTTACGACCCACGTTGGAAAGAAAGATAAAATCAAGGCGGCGCCGAGGCCCCTCCGTCGTCGGCAGCCCAAGCTCAGCACGAGCATCCAACGCTTTGAACGGTTCACAGTGTACGAGACTCGCACGCACTACTATCTCGTCGGTTCCGATCGGTTGTACTCTCAATTTCGCTTGTTTTCGCTGGACCGAACCATCAAGGAGCCTCCAAATTTGGCCGCCATATTCAAGAACGAACCCGCTGTGCACAATTGGGATGCCATGGAAGCCAAGCTCCAGGAACTGGACGCCGACGCTCGCAAACGATCTTTATCCTCGTCCTCCTCCTCCTCGTCGTCGGCGTCCCCAATTGGACTCGTTCGAGCATTCGCTGCCGTTGCGATCGTCGGGTTTGTCAAGTTTCTCCAAGGGTATTACCTCGTGCTCGCGACACAGCGACGAAAGATTGGGTGCATCGGTGGTCACTTCATCTACGCGATTCAGTCGGTGCAATACCTGCCCATCCGGCAGCCCACTGCGACAGACGGTACGCCGTGGACGTGGGTGAGCCGATGGCTTAACCCGGATGCGGTCGAGGACGCCGAGGACCGCTACTCGGTGCTGTTTAAGCTCGTGGACCTGACCAAAGACTTTTACTACAGCCCCACGTACGACCTAACGCACACGCTGCAGCACAACATGACAACCAACCAAACCAAGCCGTTCAACATGTACGTGTGTTGTCTTGGTCGGCATGACTCTGTACGACGCCCCCGTGGTAGGTTTGAGTGGAACCACTTTCTCACGCAAGAGTTTTCGTCGTGTTTGGGCATGCCGTCCGCATGCGACGATTGGATCCAGCCGCTTGTGATGGGCTTTTACGAACAGCGCAAGTGCAGTTTGTTTGGCCGGTTGATCAGCCTCATTTTGTTGGCGCGGCGGTCGCGCCACTTTGCCGGCACGCGTTACTTGAAGCGAGGGGTAGCGGCCATCGGTTTGGGCGAACCGATTCGGTGACGGTTTGCGCTGTAGATTTCCGACACGGGCAAGGTTGCAAACGACGTCGAGACGGAGCAAATCCTCGAGGATGAAAACACGCAAGGCAAGTTGAGCTCGTTTGTGCAGTACCGTGGGTCGATTCCGATCTTTTGGACGCAAGAAACGAGCGTCACGGTGCCCAAGCCCCCGATCAAACGTAAGGCGGTGCTAGTTTGGAATGGCGTCCATGATGCTGACGTTCGTGATGCCAGTGAATCGCATCGATCCGTCGTACACGGCGACGCAACTTCACTTTGCCGACCTCTTTGAACGGTACGGGTCGCCCGTCCTCGTACTCAACTTGGTCAAACAGCAAGAGAAAACGGCGCGGGAGAAGCTCCTGGGCCAAGAGTTCAAGGACGCTGTCGAGTACCTCAACACGTTTATCCCTGTCGAGCACCGCATTCGATACGTCGCGCTCGACTACTCGCGTCTGTCCAAGTTCAAAGTTGACCATTCCAAAGTCGAGGCCGTACGCCAAGGACTTGAAAAGGTCGGTGCGTGGGCGCTGGACCAAACAGGGTTCTTCTGCTCGGCGCCGAAAAGGCAAATTGGCACTGGTACGAACAAACGAACAGCCCGCCGGACGAATCCGCCCCCGATGCCAATTCTCCCTGCAAATTCGTCGCGCCCGACCACGCCCCCCCTCCAGGTAAACAACTCTCGCTACAATTGAATATCCTTTGCAAAACCTGACCGACGGCTGCGTGGATGGACCAGGGCCACTCCGGCCCGCCAGACAGTTCGGTAAGATTGTTGGATGGTTTGTTGTTGCTGGTCTCGTTGTTTTTCACATGTCTGTCGCGATGTAGGCGATCAAGCCGTTGAGTCCAACCATTCCGCGCGACTCGGGCGATTGGCTCGAGCAGCATGGCGTGCTGCGGACAAATTGCATTGATTGCCTGGATCGCACCAACGTCGCTCAATTCAGCGTCGCAATGCTGGTACGTCATCTTGTTGGAATGAGGGCTGTGGCCACCAACGCGATACGTGATCGAGACGCAGCACGTGACAACGAGGATGGACAACCGCTGACGCTGGTGGTACTAGGCGCTGGGCCAACAATTGTATGCGATGGGGATCCGCAACACGCCCGTCTTGGAAAGCTCGTCACAGATTTTACAAGAGCTCACGACCATGTTTGGCCACATGGGCGACGTCATCTCGATGCAGTACGGGGGCAGCGAAGCCCATAAGAATGTGACCAAGTCCAAGGAAAACATCAAGGCGTGGGAGCTCCTCACGTCCATCCGTCGGTACTACAGCAATGCGTTCACGGACAACTTGAAACAAGACGCGATCAACTTGTTCCTGGGCAACTACGTCCCGTCGCCGTCCACGTCGCCGTTGTGGCTCCTCGAGAGCGATTATTACCTGCATAACGTTAAGATCCAGCATGGCCTGTCGCTTTCCGAGATGGGACCGTTCCACCGCCGGTCGAACCTGAAGAAAGCACAGACAGAGGAAGATAAAATGTTGTACCAGCAATACCGCGACTCGCTGCAGCCCCAGTGGTGGAAGCCGAGCATCGAAGCGTTCGACGCACCCAAGTTTATCGAGAAGCAACCAGGTCAGGTCAAGACCCCGCCTCGTTCGGGCTCGAGCAGCATCGACCACCACCGCAAGGCAAGCTCAACCTCTGTCGGATCCAGCGACGAATCCATTTTGCAGGTACCCATTGCGATCGAATTGATGTGTGGGAAGACGAAAGCTTGGCTTGCCGAGCGAGTGCGACGAGGATTGAGTAGTTGTTTGTAGGCCACGGACAAGGACGAGCTCTTCTTCTTTGACAAAGCTCTCGGCCACACGTTTATGATTCCCGTGTATATTCTGGCCAAGGACCAAATGGATGGCCACCACAACCTCCACCATCACCACGGCATGAGCCTGCTGGCGCCTCCACCGCCATCGTCATCGTCGTCGTCGTCACTCGTTCGGACGCAATCGTCGTTGTTGCACAAAGTCCGGGCGATGAGTGCGCCGGACGAAGCAGTCGTGTCGTCGGACTTTTCGTCGTCGTTGAAACGCAGCATGAGCAACGTTGGACTCAAAGACTTGGGCGACTCGTTCAAGCAGTCGGACGCGGCGAGCACGGCCACCCCAGTCGATCTGGCGTCGTCGACACCGACCTTGAACATTGAAGAGTACGCCGCCGCCCGCGGCATTCGCAGAGAGTACATTGGGAGCTGCGCCCCTGTAACCCCCGAGCCCGTCTACGTTGGGTATGTCGAGTCCCAGGGAAACGTGTCGTTCTGGGAAAAGGAAAACAAAACCGCGCGCAGTGATTTCCTCGTCTACCTGCGCGAATTTTCTATCGACGTGGACGACATCGACGGGATCGTCGACGCCGCTGTCCGTGGCGGATGCACGTACAAAATCCAGACGGGGGTGTATGCTGGTCTTGATCAGCACACCAAGGCCCGGGCGCTTCTACCAACCAAGAAATTGTTCAAGACAGACATGCTCCATTTGTGTCACGACGATCCGTCGATGGACGACATGTGCAACAGCGCCATCGACCCCGCCAGTGCCGACCTGTACGCGTCGTACTTTGATCAAACGACGGAAACAGCGTCCTTCCTCACGTCGTCGATCGTTGGTGACGTCGGCACCGCCACGCACGAATCGATCACGGCCGACACGATGCTGTCGTCGCAGTTGGACCAGACTGGTGCGACGAGTGGCCAGTACGACGACTACATTCTCTTCAACGCGAGTGCTGCAGACCACCAGTTTCAAGACGTGATGAAGACCGTAAACGAGCTCTCGTTTGTGAAAAAGAAATAAATTCACGTCGGCCGTCTTAAGAGCGAATTGCAATCGACCTGACCGGTGCTGTGTTGGTTACTTCTTGGAAGTGTGCAGACGATGGAGATGCACACGAAGGCACGCCGCGGACAGCGCCGCCTCGACGGTATGAACGCATGCTGACTTGGTTTAGAAGTCCCGGTCCGATTCCGACCCGGATTCGGACCCACCCGATGCCGACTTGCCACTCGACTCGACTTCGCTACCCGTGGCTGAATCGTCGTCGTTGTCGATGAGTTCGCCCGAGTCGGCCACGGACACTTCGTCGCTGTCGTTGTCCGAGTCAATCGCAGTGTTTTTTTTGGGCTTCTTTGCCTGGTCCGATTTGTTTTGAGTCTGAAGTGGGGTGCGCCCGCCGCTGCTGGGCTGTCCGCCGTCGTCATCATCGTCGTCGTCGTCTTCGCTCTCGCTTTCGGACGAGTTGGCAGCCGCCTTGCTTTTTCGCGACATGTCGTTGGTTTTTTTCGTTTTCGATACGCTCGCCTTGGACTCTTTGTCCTCGGGCACCGGGATGTCCGTTTCATCCTGTTCGCCGCGCAGGATGGCGAGCTCGTCGTCGCGAAATTTCTTTTGCATCTTCTTGAGTGTGCGGTCGTTTTCTTGGAGTTTCTTGAGCTCGCGGTCATTGTGCAAGTCGAGTTCGTGTTGGAGGTAGTCCAAATTGCGAAATCGCTCGCAGTAGATGGCGTATTGGCGCTCGAGTTCTTTCTCGAGCTTCTCGTACTCCTCCATGAACGCCGGTCGGACGTTCTGGAGGCTCTTGAGTCGCTTCTCGCTGCGTTCGAGGTCCCCTTGGGCTTTTTTGATCTTGGCACCCAGCGCTTTCTCCTCCGCGTCGAGTTCTGAACATTGCCGCTCCATGCTCTCGACGTTCTCTTGTACAGACACAATGATGCCTTTGATCGACTTTTCCAAGTACTTGTGCTCGTACGTCGACTCCAAGTTGGACGTCACGGTATCGAGGAATCGAATCGCCTGGACACGAGCTTCTCGCACTTCCAGTTCGTTGTCCAACAAGTCGTACAGCTTGGCGCCGCACTCGGTGATTTCGGCCGACAGGGCTCGCGTCGCCTGCACGGTTGGATCGTCACGTGAATGCACGATCGTGTATGAAGACGAATATACCTTGGCGTCTTTGAGTTTCGACCCGAGGAGGGTCTTGGTCGAGACGTCGTCGTCATCGTCGACCGTAGAGGGGTCGATGCGAGAGGCTTCATACAGCACCCGCGCGACCTTAATCAGCTCCTTGACAGCAAACCCGTCGGCAGCGTACAATTTCTTGGCGTTCAGTTTGATCCGTGCCTTCGAATGGAACTCGGACGTGACAGACGTCAGGAACACAATCCGGTCTTCCTCCGTGTCGATCTCCTCCGTCACACTCGAACTCGGATCGTACTTTTTCGCCATCCAATACAGCAAGTCCGACACGAGCTCAAAGTTTGGCCTGCGGAAGTTCTCGACAGACACCGGGCGCGGGTACCCCAGCGCCCGCATCATTTCAGTAAAGTTGCGCAGCTCTCGGAACGACATGGTGGCGACGTGGAGGTGGCGCTAACGACCTTTCAAGATCCGCCGTTGTGGAGACGGTTGGAGGTATCCGGAGGATCATTCGGAGGAGTCAGGTTTAAAACGTTTTTTTCTCTTTTACGGCGCAGTAAAAGCAACACACGACATGGAATAAAAGATTGCAACAAGTCGTTCTTTTAAGAACTCGAAGGCTTCGGAAAAGCGATTTGTTTAGTACAATGCATACGATACGACTGGATACAGCTCATCCGGGAAATCCGACTGTTCCGCTTCGGCCACGAGCGTCAACCCGGCTTGGCGAAACAGACTCTTGTAATACACGGGCGACCTAGGATCGGTCAGCAGGCAAACAAATGATATCCGGAGCGCTGTCGAACCTGCCCAAACTGCTGTCGTCTTTGTCCACGTAGTAAGGTGCGCCCTCGTTGATCGCGTTCTCTTTGATGCAAATCACGCCGTTCGGAGCTAGCGCTGCTTGGCACCGCTTCATGAACTCAACAAAGTCACTGTCTGTCAAGTGACCGAGCACCCACTGGCACCAAATGAGATCGTATGTGCCGGCCTCGGGCTGGAAATCCTGCATCCCCATGCAGTACAGGTTGCGAATGCGCGCGGTGTCGCTTGCGTTCCCAATGTAGCTTGGAACAGTGTTCAAGAGGCGCTGGCATTGTTCTAAACAATCCACTGCGTCGAATCGAGGCAGCAACAGGTTCTTCACGACCCGTCCCACGCCACAGCCGCAGTCTACCTTGAAAGCTATGAAACCGTGCGATTCAGAGAAGCTCACACCAATGGCTAGCTGTCGTCCCATGCCAGGTCGAAGCTCTTGGACGCGATCGAGAAAACGCGACGACCCTTCCACGTCAACAGGTGATATGTGTCCGTATCCACCAAGCACGCCCTGGTCATTGGGCGGGCAGTTGTTCTCGTCCTACAAGGACGTCTCACGAGGTAAGTGCGCACGATGCTTACACCAAGACGAACCTCCCAGTACTTGGCGCCACTGGTGTACCATCCAGCTGTGGACGTGGAAGACTCCTTCACGTCTGCCAGCTCGGCTTCCCACATGGCGAAGACACTCCTACACCATGTGAGGATTAGGACAAGTTATCGTCGATCTCGCAAGCACACACTCGTAGTCTTCATGTTCATCGAGGCCATAGGCGTCCAAGTCGCGCTGCACGATGTCTGAAATGCGGCGGAGGTCGACCCAGTTGATCGGCATCGTGTGCGAGTCGTGTGCTGTTCAAAGTTTTGTTGAACCGAACCAATCGAATGATTTCAAGCATTCGTGCTCCACGATATTTTTAAATAGCATGATTTTGATACAAATGTATTGCACAATGGAATAAAATAGCACGCACTGTTTCTTTATAACACTATTTAGAAGTCATGCACATGGAGACAATTGCACAAACTTAAAATGGGAATCATGACGAGGAGGCATGCTAAAGATAGTTCGGTGAAAACGACAGCGTGGCTGTGTCGGAACGGAGGGACGGTTGGTGCACAGCATGTACACACTGCGCCACCTCCTGAGCGACTGCAGTGGCAAGATGACGCGGACGTCATGTGCTGCGGAGAAGAAGAAGGAGACGCTAGAGGAGGTGTGGGCAGCGCTGAATGCGTGGATCGAGGCCCGGTACAACGAGGGCAAAGTACGTACAACATCGATCGTGGCACCACCATCTACGAGTACAGCTCGGACGGTGATAGCTCGTATCGCTCGTGAGGTCTGTCATGCTGCCTCGTGTAGGGTGTAAACGTCGCGCCATTCTGCAAAATCTCGTGGGAAACAGTCACGATCAGTCGCAACACGCGCAAGCTTCGGCCAATTTTCATTCTCCATGAAACTTATGCCAAAACATACGGCCTCCACTACAAGAAGCGCATCACGGCCCCGGACATTGCCCCGCTGGAGGACATCAACTTCACCAAGATTGCCATCAAGTTTTCGAAAAACCTGAACAAAGACACCGTGTTCTCGGGCGTCCGCGATTTGTTGCACAAGATTGGCGAGATCGCGTCGACGGGGGCCCAAATGGCGATTGAAATGACGATGGGCAAGATCGTTGCCAAGAACCGAGCGGTCCACATGCTCTTTGACCCGAAGCTGTTCCCCAAAAACTTGGAGCACGTTGCGACTGCATCGATCACGAGTGCCGCGCCGTCGATGCTCGGCGACCTCGCGGACTTTGACTTGCTCTTGGATGAGTCGACCAACCAGTTTGGCGACGAAGTAGAGGACGCGTCAGAAGAGCCACTGGCCATCACACCTGGGCGCCAGCAGCCGTCGACGCCGCGCCCGCTCAAGCCACAGCCCCGCCGCCAAGACACGGCTCCTCCAACTTTTTCCGGCTCGCCAACAAAATCTTTGTCACTTCCGTCGGTGGAGAAGCCCCCGATCCTCGCGGCGCCTCCCACCATTTCACAACTGCGATCTCCCCGGCCAGCCTCGCGCAACGGCCAGGGATATCAGAGCGTGGACGTCCCGAGTCGAGACTTCACCACGATGGCGCTGTCGCCGCCGCAACTGCGGCAGCACATGGCGTTCAAAGAGCCGAGCTTTGACTTTTCATTCAAGGAGATCATGACGCAGGAACTTGAGCGGAGTGGCAGCAGTGCGAGTGGGGGCGGCACCGAGTCGTCTGTAGCTGATGCCGCGTATGAGCGACACATTCGACGCATCGAGAAGGAGGTCGAAATGGAGGTATGCCTATCCGCCCAACTCTAGAACTGTCGTCATCGGTCGTTGGCACCGGCCGCAGGCCCAGCATGCCATGGATATCCACCGCCACCACATGAAAGACCTGGACGAGATTGCGTCCGAGAAGCGCAAGAAGCGGCTGAATGCGGAAAAGTTGCAAGAAAACATCAAGGCGCAGATGGCGGCGGCCGCTGACGCGCGCGAAAAGCAGAAGCGCGTTCAGAATGGCATGGACCCGAGTGAGAACACGTTCTTGAGCCACAGTCAGCACAGTCGGCTTGGGTTCAACAGCCCTGATGCTCTCAAAAAGAACCAAAACAACTTGCACCAGTATTTAGAGGCCCAGGTGCAGAACCGTTCGTCCGAGACATCCCTGACGATTGTCTAGATGGTGGAGAAGGACCAGAAGCGGCGGGAAGCAAGGTCGAATGCGCTGGCGGAAGACAAGCTCTTCCTCGCCAAACTCGAGCGCGACATCCAGGAAGACCGGGAATACGTCGTGTCGGAGCAGAATCGCCAGCGTCAAATTCTCACCCAAGCGTGGGAGAAAGACCACTCCATCAAGGCTGCCACGAAGCAAAGCAGAAAGATCATGCATGACCGCATCAAGACGGCGATCGCGGCGTCACCGATTCGACAAAGTGCCGTGTACCAGCTCGGGGACGACGGCGACGGTGACTTTTCTGTCGGGTTTGACAGCCGCGCCAAGTCGAGCGGGGGCTGCAAATGACCGCCCTGGCACGAACACTCAACGGGACAAGCCTACCGATATAACATGCTGATGATTACTTCCACGCGATGCGATCGACGCTATTGTGCACGCATGACATGACTCGTTTCATGCACCACAGTGGCTCAGCTGAAAACGGGAAAGAAGACCTGTATTCGTAACGAGCGGGCTTAACCTCGTGGAAGGATCTGTCTTACTCCTTCCATAAGTACCAAACACTTTGGTGAATGGGGTCGACCTGTAGTCGTTGGTTCCATACGGCAAGTGGCCAGAGAATACATACGTGCAATTACGGGAGTTGAGAGCGTGCTCGGGCGCCCACACATCTACGCAGCTTCGGCATCTTCGCTGTCGTCTTCCTCGTTTTGCATCTCACGTTCCATCTTCGCACGGAGGATCTCAACGATGGCATTTTGCGTGCGTCGTTCCAGTTTCTTCATTTGTTTCTCCAGGCCTCGCTCCAGATCCCACGTTGGCTTCATTGGTGCGATGCTCAGAACCTCCTCGGTCGTATCTTCTTCGGACGTTGCGACATCGCCTTGGGCAGCTTCATCTGCTGCTTCAGCAACTACTTCGGGAACTGGACATGATTCCTCCTCGGCCGCCGGAACAACCCCTTCCTTCTTGTTCTTTGCATCACGGAGTGCTTTGAGCCGCTTTGCGCGGTCCGCTTGATCCATGCTTGGTCCTCCAGAAATCAGGTCGTGAGGTGATTGGTTGAGATCCAATTCTTTGTATGAATTTCATTGGACAATAGTCGACCAATCACCCTAGATTGACAAATCTCACACCGGTCAAGTGTCGTTAGGTCACCGCGCCCCCAAGAATAGTTGGCACCTCCATCTTGGGCGTGAATAGGGTGATGCCAGCGTCGCTGACGGCGCATGGTTGCGGTGGAGGATTTTCCTGCTGTCCTTCGAGTAGTGAGACGGTTGCGCGTTGCGAAATTTTCAAACACGATCCTACTTTGGCGCTGGAACGTGCGCATGTTACGACGTTGCGCAATCCTCTCGCCGTCAAGGCGGCGATGCATTGCGTTGGAGAAGGGCGAGGAGTGCTCTACGATCTGGCCCTGCCTTCGATCGTTTCCTTGTCAAACAACCTGAACAAGTTTCAACACCGACACCCCCCTCGAATGCAACGAAGAGTTCACCTGGAATTCTGTCAGCACCTCAAGGCTCGACAACCCTAGCGTAGTTTCTACCCGCGCAGCCACGTCGACGCCTCACATTTTTTCGCTGGTGGTGGAGGGGGGGCTGCCCCGCCATGTGGTGATGCGACGTTCACTTGGACATCTGGTCACACGTGTTTCTTTGCTTTCCTTACCTTTCAATGCTTCTCGGAGGATTTGGCCACTTCGGAGCCGTACCATGGCCACGAGAACGTCAACGTGTTTAGCACATACATGTTCTAGTCGTCGTTGTAAACTTGAACGCGTCGGGAGAGCGCATCTCGTCGCATGAAAGACGGGTTGCCGGGGCTGTCTTGTAGGCGCGTGTAACTTGGTCCTAAATTTCCAGGTGGAAATCCCAGCCGTCCACATACCCACTGTGAGGAGTATTCCGAATAAAAATGTCGATTGTCCCCGTTGCCTACCGTTGCTAAGGACGGACACCCTGTCCCTCGTTGTAGAATTGCCGATGATATCTTGCATGTAAACTTGTATCAAGTAATGAATCTCTTCATTCTCAGGCGTGTATGGACAATCGTTGTCATGCAACGTGGAGCAGGCCGAATGCGCTTGGTAAGAGAATATAGCCCAGAATATCCCATTTTCCCTCCAAATGCTTCCTAGTGGAAACTTTATTGGGAAATCGGGCCCCCATCGAAATTTTCATCCCCTAGTCCTTATCCGTCTGTGATTGGTCAGCTGTCGACGAAATCGTGGCTTCGAAATCCGCTGGGGCAAAATTTGGCCGTGCATGAACGAATTCTCTGGCGACGGCGCGGAGAGGTTGATCCGTTGTGCGGTCGGCTCACTCCATCTTAGCTGCCACCACGCGAACGAACCCGATCCAGGACATGCTGGACATTGCCATGAACTTGTCCCCGACCACGTCAGCGCGTCTCAAGCGTCGACGAGACAGCCAGTACTCAAGTCTCAGTGTCCAGCCGCCGACGGACAAGTGCTCCCGTCGCGGGAACGACGCGCCGTCCACTCTTTCAAGCGGTGGTATTCTGTCCACCGCCGTTCTTACCACGTCGTTTGAGCCGTCAACCACCCAGAGTGACGCCGAAGCCATGGTCATCGCGGCTGAAATGTCCATCGACTTCTACGACGAAGCGTTTGTTCTGTACAACATGATATCGGAATTTCGACCAAGTTCCTCCACCAGCGATGGCAACACCATGGATGTCCTCATGCAGCGACTTGGCCTCCACGTCCACGACGAACGCATCCTGGCTGACGTCGAGAACGTCCGCAACATTTACCGAGGCTTGCTGCACGTCTACGTGTATTTGTACCGTGAATACCATAGACAATTCGCACAGCTCGACATGGTGTCCCACCTGTCTCTGTGTTGGCACCGTCTTGTAGCGTTCGCGACCGAATACCGCGTGCTCGACCCCAAGTTGCTCCATGGGTCGTACGAGTACACGATGCAATTTGTCCGTCAAAGCGAAGCTGTTTCTGCTTGTCGACCTGCCGTCTAACGTGTAAAATGTCCAGAGTTTCGAAATGTCGTGCGAGTCTTTGGTCCTGCTGGCCATGTAGATGTAGTACATCAAGGACGACGCCGCATGCTTGTACCTCGTTTCCAGTAGCAGCGACCGGTCGCCGCCAACGACATGGCATCGTGGGTCGCTGTGTCTAGTTTTTTGCAAGGATCACCCATATATACATGGTTCGATTCTTCTCGAAAGCAGACATCACTTTCGAAGTGTACATGGACAGGTCCTTGCATTATATTCAGCGCTGCCTGGGTGTGCCAACGGAGCAGCACGTGGCAAACGAAGTCTTCCTCAACCATTGATTGCTACTACTCCATGCACCATCACAACACTTTGGCTGCAATCACATTCGCTCCTCATGTACGGGTGGCAAAGAGTCGCTCACGATGGCCATGTAAGTGAAGCCGCCATGGAATGGACCGGTGGTGTGCATCAGAACAAAATAATCCACATCAGTCGAGTCATGACGACTCGTTTAAGAGTAGCGATTCAAAATATCGTCATGTGCACATGGAAGGCGGGTATCCTAAATCGCCTACGCTAGATTCACTCGTGGAGGTGGTCGAAAGCATCAGACGTTGTTGTCTACACTGTTTGGCGAGCCGACTAAAGCTCTTTCGGAGTAGCTGATTAAGTATATCATTTGCTTCCACACACTGCCACATGCCTCCTCGAAACACTACGCACCGCGGGACGTCGCGCGTCCTCCTGCGACAATTTGTAAATGGCCTCCATGACGCGCGATCTCCTCCTGGCCACCCAGTTTGACCGATCCGGATAAATGGCAAGTGGTTGGCCTGACCCAGGTAAATTTTGATTGGCTGATATAATTTACTTTTAGCCAATGCAACGCCAGAACGACTTCGTTTGCCCCAACTGTACAATCTCAAGCACCAAGCTAGCGACTCGTGTATTCCACAAGATAGTGGCGTCGAGGTCGCTTTGGCGTTGTTGCCGAGATGATGTTTTGTCGGATATATGGAGTTGCTTGGAGAGATGTGTACGGCATTGCATGCCATATTCTGTGATAGGTGATAATGAAATTCGTTTTTTCAGTGATAAATGTTGTACTAGTAATCGTTTACTACTCGGGCCCAACGAAAGTGTCCACTTTTGTTTGAATGATCCGCAAAAATCGGCGGATTTTTTCTAGACTACCGGATTGGTAGATAATGAAAGCCGAGCATTTGCTGATTGGATTGCTGTGTCATTTGATTGAATTCGCGCCAAAATGGCTGAAATAGGGCAATTTGAAATCACCGAACTATTTATACTTGATTAATGTATGCTAAGAATGGACCATAAGTTGTCCACTTCATATCTACTTTGTGATGCTCGACGACGAAACAATATCTTCCTCACTATGCAGTGTGTTATGCAATCGATTGTTGAGAGCAAAGGAAACAATACTTACAAGATCAAGCGTGTGAACAAGCGTTCCAAGAGACGGCGCGGTGAGTTGAAAGAACCACTTGAATGGCCCCCCGAGGCGCTTATTGCCGCTTGCCCTCTCACCTATTTCGTGTGAGTTTTAACCAATGAATATCATTTTCTTACATTTTTGACCAATAAAATCAAAAGTGGACACCTTCAGTGGGCCTCGACCAATTTCGAAAGTGGACACCTTCGGTGGGCCCGAGTATAGTTGAATAGATGATGTGTTTAAAATGTTATCCGGATGAGAAGAAATTTTGGATGCTGTGAAACGGCCAGAAGGGAACAGCGATGGCGCCACAGCCTTCAATGGACACGTAGATGCTGCATGAAGGTCACTCGCGACAGCTAACAATATGCTCATGTAGGTCTAAGGTAAAAATGTGGAGGAACGCTTATGTGCACTTTGCAGATAAGAAGCGCATCGACCTGGTAAAAGAACATCCCACTTTGGACAACGCCTCGATCTCCCGCCAACTCGGCAAGCTGTGGAAAGGCTTGCCTGCGGAGGAGCGGAGCGTGTGGGTCAATCTTGCGGCGTACGATCGTGCGAGATACATTGCAGAATGTCAAATCCAGTCGACTCAACCATCCTTGGCAACAGCTCCTTCCATTACAACCCACCTCGCGGACGCAACGTCCGATTACGACATGTCGGCGCTCTCGTTACTATCTCCGCGTCCACGATTGACTTCATCGCATGGTACGGCGACTGCGGCGTCTGTATCAGCGTATGGCGATCCATTGAGTCAATTCTCGCCTCCCATCGTCGGCACAATGGCGCCCTTGGCTTCGGCTACCTCTGCATCGAAGAAGCGAAAGCGCGTCTCCACCGGGTCTCACGTCCAGCTGGCGTACTATTACTTTCGTCGAGCAAAGCGGGATGTGATGCTAGCTGACAACCCGTCGATGTTGTCGGCCGACATAAACCGTGAGATCGGGCAACAGTGGCACGCTTTGCGAGCTGAAGCAAAGCTTCCATGGATGCAGATGGCTCTCGCAAATGCCAAATCTGCCAACACCGCGTCATCCTGTCCAAAGTTTAAAGATCCGCTGGCGCCTAAAGCTCCCCGGTCGGCGTTTCAGTTCTTGTTGGAATCGCGCCGCCAAGAACATCCGAACTTGGCTTACAACGACTTAACCAAGGAATCAGCGCAGCTGTGGCGGCTCATGCCTGACGACAGAAGAGCTCCTTGGATGAAACTAGCTCGGGAAGATCGTCTGCGGTACGTGTACAACCACGACGTCATTCAAAGTCGTGACAAGTGGCTGCCTCCATAGCTACGAATGTGAAATGAAAAAGTACAAGCCACCAACGTACGCCCGCGACTTCAAATCTGCGAAGCGCCCAGTCTATCTCGGCGGCGGCAAGGGCGAAACGAATCCCCAGTCGGCCTTTGTGCATTTCTTTCGAGATAAGCGCGTTTCGCACGCGAACTTGAGCTTCGTTGAGTTGACGCAGCGGCTGAGTCGCCAGTGGAAGCTCATGTCACTGGAGGAAAAACGCCCGTGGCTACAGCGAGCTCTCGACGAAAGAGCTCGGCGAGGTTCAACCACCGCCCATCAAGCCAAGCGAACGAAGTCCACCGACGTATGTCGCTCTGCGTGATGTCTCTCGTGCCTCACTGAAGTGGTAGGCCACCCCACCTACACCGCCCCCTCCTTGCAAAAAGACGTCGATTCCGCGACGTCCTAAATCTGCATTTGTACATTTCCAACTCCAAACTCGACAATCGATGCCCGACATGCCGTACAAGGACTTCATGCAAAAGATCGCGGCCATGTGGAAGACCAAGTCCGATGCGGACAAGATGCCGTGGCAAGCGTTGGCGAAACAAGACCTAAACAGGTACACTCGTGAGTGCGCGGCAGCATCGTCGTCGTCGGTGGCCACGAGCGCCACATCGCCCGACCCGTTGCCTGGACATGTACGTTTACACAGGTGTTGTGCTGAACAATACAGGATGGTTCACGGAAACCCTTCTAGACGTCGTGTGGAGGAGGGAATACGCCCGCCGTGGCTTCCTCCCTGCGCCTGCGCCATGGTTTCGCGTGCTTTGTACAAGCCAAGAAGCACGACATCTTGGCCAAAACTCCGCACTTGACCCACAACGAGCTGTTGCACGAGGTAGGGGTGACTTGGGGGACCAGCTTGACGAGATGGTTGACCAGGTGGGCAAATTGTGGCGTGATATGTCTCCACTGGAACGACAGGTATGTGCAAAATGCCGAGTTGACGATTCATGTGCTGGTGTAGCGGTGGAGAGACCTCATGCAGGACAAGAAATCACCCATGGCTCGGTCGTCTTCAGCGCCACGCTCCAAATCGTCGCCAGAGACGTCGACCCTATCGACGTCCAGTCCACTACTTACCCAGCCGCTTGTGGACGACTCGCAGCAACACCACCTTGAGCTCATGGACGGGCTGTGGGGCGAGGACGTCGAAAGCGTGTCGCAGCACATGTTTTACGAGGAAGACCTGGCGCAATCGCACCCCTTGTCGCTGCCGTTGATGGAGGACATGGACTCGATGCACCACCACCCGCACTCGTCGGACATGCTGTAGGCTGACCCGTCGTCATTCGTCATCGGAACGATGTGTTGTCGACAATGCAAGTCGTGGCGAGTTTTCAATCCATGCAGTTTTCCCCCTCATCGGTGTATATATGTAGCCATCTCCACGACGATGTCACCACTCACTTCAAGGAAACTCCATCGACAGGTCAATCGATGGGACGGATTCGCACATGGACATGGCATGGTTTTCAAGCTCGTGTCTCCCATGCTCCCTCATGACGTTAGCGCGTTCATCACGACCTGGATTTCGCCCTTTGATGTTTCTAGCAAGGCCACCACGATGGTCGCGTCGGCGTCAGGGATGATTTCATGCACAAGCTCCAGTTCTGTCGCCCACTTGGACGGACCCGATGGCGCCCTTGGGATGGCATCGAGACATGAGATGTTTGGAGCAGCCGCCGGGGTCATGTCCAAGTGTTGAAACTTCTCAACTAGCCCCTCAGTGTATTTGGGCACCTCCGCCGCGGCGACTCTGACGTTCTCACTGGTATCATTACAAGGTCGCTCCATGATGCTGCGCCGACGTTGTGATGTCGCGGCCGTGACGGAAGTCGGTTGTACTTGTGTCGAGTTCAAAATCCTGGGTTCCTGCATGCGGCACACGCCGTCGGAATCCATGCAATCTTGAGCGGGATGCGACTGCAACGTGCCCGGCCCGGCGGCCTGTTTCATCTCAGCATTTTGTCCCGAAGCGTTGACGACTGCGCCAGTGCGAATAGTCTTGGCCACCACTTGATCGTGCAAGGTGGATTCAGTCGTCGGCACACTAAAGAAGCGAAGGCTCGTACGCTGCGACAATAGGATTTGACATGCCGCGCGAAACTCGTCGGTGGATCGCACAGCTACAAACCCACCGGCAATGTCTTTGTAGTGGATAGAAATCGACCCATACGGCAGGTGGAATGTGGCTGCAAACAACGTCTGCAGGTCGGCAAAACCAAACACAGCCAAGTCGACGCGGATGCGGTGTATCTCGCCGCGGTAACCAACCTTGAGCGCGGTCGGCACGTCCATCGCGGTGTGTCGGGGGGTTGTATTTTTAAAATCGACTATGGTTTCGAAACTCTTTTTAAAAACACTGGTGTTCAAATTGCCTTGGTGGGGCATGTACAGGGACATATTCGTGGGGCAAATATCCATCGTATCCGGACGAATGATTGCATCATACGGAAAACGTTCGACACGCAGCAGCGGCGGCGACAACGGCCATGTCGACCTACGAGAAAACCCTGATTCCTCCGCTCAATTTCTCGATGGTGGACTCCGGGGTGTACCGCTCCGGGTTCCCAAACAAGAAGAATCATGCATTCCTCCAGAAGCTGGGTCTGCGGTCTGTCTTGTATCTTTGCCACCAAGAGCACCGCCCCGAGAACCTCCTGTTCTTTGAGGAAAACAACATCCAAGTGTTCCAGTGTCCCATCGACGGCAACAAGGTGCAACGCAATCCTTGTCGCAGGGTTTTCGTCGGTCTCACCATGTCACGACGTAGGAGCCGTTCTTGGGCATCAACCCCGAAGCCATGATCAACGCGCTGCGCCATTTGTTGGGTATCCATTCGCCACCGACCCCCGTGTGATCGCAATGTTGTTTCACAAACAGCTCTTCTAGATGTACGGAACCACCCGATCCTTGTCCAATGCACCAAGGGAACGGTGCGTACACGACAACCCTGTGCTCCATCGTGTCACCAATCGCGATAGCATCGCACAGGGTGCGTAGTGGGATGCCTTCGCAAGGTGCAGCACTGGTCGCTGACGTCGATCATCGACGAATACTGTCGCTTCGCCGGGCCACGCATGCGCTTGCTGGACCAACAATTTATCGAGTTCTTTTCGCCCGTGATCGAGTACGACGACACGCACGCACCGCGGTGGCTCTATTAATGTACACATATCGTTATGGCGTCGCGTCGGCTTCGAAGGTGCTTCGGGGCATGGCATTCCAAATTTCCATCACCTACGACGTTTGGATACACGTTAACTTATTGGGTCGGTGACGACGGCGGGCCACCTTGTCCAAAGCAACGTAGGAAGCATCTCGGTTCGTTTCAGCTTTCTTGGAGGCGCCGCTCATCGCCCTTTCGGACGCCGCAGCTCGCCTTCTAGCAGCATGGGCCGCTGCCACGGCCCGGTCAAACTCCCATTGCAACTCGGCCAACGTCACGGCGTGTCCGTCGCCGTACATCGCGAGATCGAACGGCGAGTCCTGCGAACTGTTGACGGTGCTTTGCGAGTTCATGTCAAAATGTCGGTGTGCGTCCCGCGTCGTGATCAAATCGTTCAAGATGACCATGATGGCCGCGAGCTGGGACGACGGTTCTTGCTCCTTGGCCTTCAGTGCCTGCGGGCAATCCACGTAAGTCGAATAAGCAACGGCACGACATACTTCAGCAAGACGGTCCTCGCGCTGCGTGCGCAACCGGTCGAGCTTATGGCGCAAGAGACCGTTGTCGTTCTCAAGTTGCAACAGATGGGAGGTATCGCACTATGGAGGACGATATAGATGGATGGGCGCGCGCCACGGAGTTGTCGAACCTGGCCGCCATCCACAGGAATCGAGGAGGATGGTTGCGACGGCGGCATGAGCGTCGGAGGCGACTCTTCCGACGAGTCCAGCCAAACATTGTCGCCATCAGATGCAGGTTTGACTGACACGGGCTTGCAACCTTTGGTTTCGACGTCGATGGTCGAGCTACCACTGGAGCCAGCGCTGCCACCGGGCCTGGACCCATCCAGTCGCTTCAGGGCCTTCTGGGGAGCTTCTACTCGACGTATGAGGCGTCGTGGGATTTGGTGGGACTACCTGGCGAGTCGGTGACACTCCGCTTGCGCTTGAGAAAACTCACAGGCGTGATCGGGGAAGTTGTTCGAGCGTTCCCCTTCTCGGGGCTGGACCGTGTCCCGGCGGCCCCCGCCGGTGGCAGCGACAGAGTTGAAATCGCAGGGGCAGCGAGTCGAGTGGTGGTGGGCATCGTGCTGTCCTGTGGCGGGTCTCGAGAAATGGCCCGTTTCACTTCCACGACCTGATGGATCCATTCGGGACTTTGTTGTGACGACGAAAGGAGATATACCTTGTCAAACATGGCGTGGAGGGCAACTTCGTCGTCCTGTGCTTGCTTGGCGGCAGCTCGTGCAGCCTCCTTCGATGCTGCCGCTCGCTTCTTGGCCTCATTCATGGCAGCCATGGTTCTTGCCAGTTCGTCGTGCAGCTCTGCTGGGGAGAGCGGGTGGCCGTCGGCGTTGACGAAAAGGTCGGACGGCGAGTCCTGTGAACTGTTGACGGTGCTTTGCGACGTGGACGGGTGGTTCTGCTGGTCGTCCAGCGCCGTTGCAAGCGTTTCCAGCATGCTCTTGATCATGTTCATTTGCAGCGATGGCGTATGGTACTTGGCCTTCAGTGTCTACGCCAGGTCCGTCAAGAACGTGCGGCTCAAACACATTGACAACCTCCACGTGCAATTGCTCGTTTTCATTCACCAACCGGGCGCATTCTTCGCGCAAGCGATCGTTTTCCCGTCCAAGTGTGACGGCGCGGACGTCGTCGCTCTATGCATGCGGCGTCAAGACATCCTTGCCAAAGATCACACAAACCAGCTCCGCGTGCATGTTAGGCGACGTTCGGGCCAGCGGCTGCATCGTCGACGACGACGGCAGCACCTCAAGCGGCGTTACTTCCGACGATTCCTACGTCGAAATGAAATGCATGGTCAGCAGCAGCATGGCTACCTTGGTTTCGTCGTCAACAGTCGAACGTGGACCAGTGCCTTCAGGCGCCAACACCTCTACGTGCTTGGCGACCTTTTGGGCTGTTTTTTCTGCAATGGACATTGAGTTGTAGGAAGAGGACGCGGACGACGGTGTGCGATCATGCGTCCGACCTGGTGAATCGGAATCGCTTCGCTTGCGTTTGAGCAACGACTTGATGAAAGGCGGCGGCGGCGGATTGTTTGCCTCGTCTGGATGGGAATCGCCCGCTGAGGGTGGCACATAGGACGCTGCGGATGATCCTGCTGGTCGTCCTAACGGAAGTGCCACCGCCGTCGACACAGTCGTCGCGACGGCAATAGACGCTCCTGTCGGCAGCGACGTGGCAAGTCTTGCTTGGCGGATGGCACCAATGTACACCCCCGGCGTGTGCACCTTAACAGGGCGGCGGCGTCCTTCGCGCATGACTCGATTCTTGCCGCCGAAACACACGAGCATCTGTCCATGCATGGGCAGTCAAGTTTGACACCTCGTCGCGATGTGGACGATTCAACGAACCGACTCGTTGACCTTGACGAGAACGGTGTTGGCGCGTTCCCCTGGGATCGACCCAGTCATGTCGAGCTTTACGGCGCTGTGGGTCTGTCGACAGTCATGTCATCCGCGCGGCCATGGAGCTGATCCAAGACGAGTCGTACCCGCACATTGAACGCCCACGCAGACAAGATCGAGTTGTTTGTTTCGTCGGAGCCTCCCATGAATAACAGCGTGCGGCGATCGTCAAGCCAAGCTATCTACATCACCCGCACGATGTCAACACCTAGATCGTGTGACGGTATGGTGCGATGCACCGAGTGGTTGAAGCGCGCGGCCAGACTCGCGTTGAGCTCGACGTTGGCATACGGCACATCGCGCCACCGCGCTTGCTTGGGAGGCACGACACTCGACACGTCGTAGATGTGCATGATTCCTTTCTTGCTCATGATGGCCACGTTCTTGCCATCGTTGGCTAATGTGCATCCACCATTCAAAAACAGCCGCGTGCCATTCGTCGCGAGCGCAAAGTACGCGCGCTTTGAAGCTTTGTCGACATCGTCGTTGTGGTATGTCACGGCTAGCGTCTAGATATATGCAGCCGCAAAGGTCGCGACGGGATGGATCGAAGAACGTACCGCTGGGTCGAACAGAATGATGTCGTTGTAGTAGGTCGTGGAGTACTTCCCGACGTTCTTCCCTCCGTAACTCAGGATGCGTCCGTCCGCCAGCACCACGGAACAAAGGCCCAGCCGTCCCGGAATGGACTCGGCAGATTTGTACTTGACCGCCTCCCACGTCACGGACAGCGCTGCAACGTCCACGCGGAACTTGTGAATCTCAAAGCTCTGGTTGTGGAAGCGTTCTTCGGTCGACGTTCCCATCGATCGATTCCCGAACACGTAGATGTCGGTCCCCACCGCCACCATGGTGTGATATCTACGACAAGATCGTTGCCGCGTGAGCATGGACCATGCGTCTGGTGACCGTAACGTACTTGTGCCCTCCGCGAGGAGGATGGATCGAACGCAAGAGCTTCCATTCGACTGTGGCGCCCCCCTGCGTTGCCGACGACGATGCAGATGGGGCATCGTCACGGATTGTCATCAGCCACACATCGTTTCGAGGCGTTTCCTTGTGATTGCCTTCCGCGATGTTCACGCCGCCGTACATGATGACTTGGTTCGGCGTGATCTCGCCAGGATTCGGTCGAAACACCGTCGCTGCGTGTGCGTACCTCATTGTCGGGTCTCCCATAACATCGCCGACCCGCGTCTCGCCGGCGAGATGCCACCGGATGTGCGCCGTCGCCATGCTCTGTCCGTCCTCCCGACTCGAATTTTCCCAATTGCGCGAATAATTTTTTTCCTTCGTCTCAGTGGTCAAAATAATTCAACCAATCACCAGCAGGAATCGGTGAAAAATGCGAGCGACATTGTACTACACACCATCACTCTCGACTCTCGCCCTGCAGGAGAGACACCACCATTTTCCCCAAGCCGCGAAGAGACGGGCACACCACCAAGAAGCAGGACATGCACGAAAGCGGATGAGTGCCAAGGAGAACTGTGCGGCATGCGTCGTGACGTTCTAGAGGCCAATAGTGGGCACATTCGATACGCGTCGTTGCGAACGATTCGTGGATGGTGCCACCACAAACGTCGCATGCACATACGAACAACTTCCACCTTGTGTGGTCGAGGCGAACGTGATGCCCTGAAAGGATGAAAGGACTTACGATGACACTATCTCCTGCACACCTGTCTAGTCTGCTCTCGTCGGCAGGCACGGATGAATTCGTCCTGTGCTCATTGTAACGTTGTCGGGTGACATCCTAGAACTTGTCACTTCATGCTGTTGATGTTGATATGTAGTCGAAGAAGCATTGTCATTGCAGACACCCTAGTCCTCCCTGTACATGACGCCATCTGCAAGATGAAGACACGGCCGGCGATGATGGCCCTCGCCGTGAACGACCATCGTTGCATGCAACTGAATATGAATCGTATTTGATGGAGTCTAGCGGAGTGGAGCAAGCCAACATACCGAGCACATTGAGCCCACCGTCGAACAACACTTACATGTCGACCAGTTGGTTGACGACGATTTGGAGGTTGCCGTTGGCTGCTTCCAACTCGCGCACGACGTCGTGGCCTTTCGCCGATGGGAGTACTTCGTGAACGACCGCCAGCTGGTCGGCCCACTTGAGCGCTTGCTCAGGGGTCAAAGGCGCAATATCCACGGGCTCATCGAGTTCTTGTCCCGACGCTGTGATCAAAGGCTGGTCGATTTCTACAGTGTCATCGGGCTCGGGGGCGTGGCGCCAGTCTTGTGGCGCTGGAACAGCTTCGTCCACCACTTCGACCGACACGTTCGCTTCAACAGTGTGGCTGCCGCTTGGTGCTGACAACGCCAAGTCGTCCGTCGAGGGCTTTTCGTCGCGTTCTGGGGCAGGTGGCGATGGGGGGGTCGCTTCGATGGGAAACGCGTCAAATTGAAAGCGCTGCATTGTCTCGGCGAGCTGCATTGCTTCGTGGAAGTCGGCTGCAGTGTCGACATGCACGTAGTCGCCGTCAGTGTCCTTGTACTTGATCACAAACGTGCCAGGAGCGAGCGCAACTTTCGTATGGAACAATTGCTGCAGGTCTGCCAGCGCAAAGTTCGTCGTGCGGACGCGAATGCGGTGAAAGTGATCTTGGAACCCGAGTTTCACCACGCGTTCGTCAGACGAGGTGGTTGTCTGTTGGTTCACGGTCGACGACTCCGAAGCGGCGCCGCTGTCGTCATGCACGCCTCGGGGGAAGAACTTGGTCAGCGACGTCGACACGACCTGGTCGACGTACGCATGCGTCGAGGGCAAGAGCGGCACGACATCGGACCCTTCCATGACGTGGGAGCACCGAGACGAGTGCTGCAGCCATGTCGATTGCTTGGAGCTCGTGCTGTGCGAACACGATAGCTGAAGGAAGGTCGCGACTTGGGTGAAAAAGTCGTCGTTCGCGTGGCCATCGAGTGCCGCGTACATCTGCTTCAACAGGTACGTCTGCGTGCAGTAGTGGGCCTGAAGCTTGCTCAACAGCATTTGGAACGTCGAGAGCTTGGTAGGGTTGGCATCGAAGCGCTGATGCACCATGCGCACAAACGAATCGGTCGTGGCGAGCGCAGTGTGACCGGCCGATGACGATGGCATGTGCATCGTCGTTGTACCATGATGGCAGCCAAACGACACAGGCGACGACTGGCCCGGAACGTTAAGTTCGTAGCACGGGGTCGTGACCTCGGGAGTCTTGCCGCGTTGAATCGACGGCGCCGAGTGGTTAAAGGACACCAACCAGTCTGTCGCGGCTTGCGGGAGCGGCGCTTGTGGCTGAGAGACTGCGGTGGGCGTTGGTGCAGCTGCCTGAATGGAAGGAGTGGGCGACATGACCAAGGGATTACCAAACGAAGAGCTCGGGAAGGTAATGCCAGTCGTCGAGGGGCCGGTGGTCGACGGCGTCAAGGGCAGCGTGAAACAACCAAAATCGCTCAACTTAGCAGGCATGGTGCGAGGGACCGTTGGCGTCAGAGGGTACTGGCGGCGAGCCTTGGGCGAGGCACGAGAGCTGCAGTTGGGTTGTCGTGAAAACGCTCCAAGTGGGACTCTAGCCTTGGGGGCGTCGGTGCCCCTGGTCGAAGGCTGCGAGGGGAAGGCCGAGCTGTACGCGTTGGAAGGGGGTTTGGACGCTTTGAGCCATTCCATGTACTCGGTCATGGTCGTGATGTTGTGGGGGGCGCTCGACGATCTCAACGACTTGGTAGTTGTGGGAGGCGCTGGGGAAGTCATGACGGCTGGAGGGGCAGCACAGAACGCGCCAAATGTCGAGTGGGGGGCGACAGCGGTCGGTGCGGGGGCGTGGGGGACTGCGCTGCGATGACTTCCTTCCGGTGCCAAATCGTAGTTGCGGTACAGGTCCGGCAAAAATATGTTGAAGCCCGCAACGAGGTGGGGGCGGCCCTGGAGAATGTCGAGCATTCGTCGGTACTTGTCTGGGATGTCGACCCTGTTGGACGTCATGAGCTACCAGAAACGATTCCAGTCACATACAAAAACTCCTGTAGACCGTCCAGAAACTGGCGGTACACGTCTTCTTGGTCCCCGATTTCCTTTCGCACCAGGTTCACGTAGTCTTGGGCCGCTGTGGCAGCTTCTTGAGTCGTTGAGGGGTGTGGCCCCTCGGCGTTGCCGGCTTCCAGGTCGTCGTGGAGGTACGGCAATTGGCCTAGATGTGTCGTCTGGTTGTTGGTGGGCATGGGCGAGCGCGGGGGGGGAGAGCTGTCGAGGGCGGCGGTGCTGTCGAGTGGTTGCTTGGAATGAGAAATGGCCCCTTTCGTCTGCCCACATGTCGACTCGCACATCTATTTTTGACGACCGAGAGCAGTTTTGCACATCTCCATGCGGGGCCATCTTTAGCCAGCACCGAACATGTTGCTTCGTGTTGTAACGTCCTCGGTATTCTTAGCGGCGCTAATCCCAAGCCAGCGTCGACGCGGCGACTCGCACCAACGACAACTCCAGCGGCCTGGACACGGCCAAAGGTTGGCTGAGTCGTAGCTGCAGTGGGCTGGCGAAGTTGGACCAG